GTTTGGGATTTTGTTGGTTGTTGGAACGGAATGGTTGGGTTCTCTTACATTGCGGACGCTGCCTCTGACGTGATTGGTCTATGGCTCAGTGTTGATATTGTTGTCTTTGATAAGGGTAATTGTACCTCTTCTGGTAAGGATAATATTTTCTATGATGAAACGGAGGTGTGTACATCCCCAGAGTGTGGAGCGTGGATCTGGAGTCTTTCCCAGAGTGCAGGATTTCGTCCGTCTTCTCTGCAAACAATTTGTTCTTATCAAAGGGAAGGTCCTCAACTTTTGCATGGAGTTCCTTTGGTACTGCTGCGGAAGCTAGCCAAAATGAACATTGTTATCGCAGTTGCCGTAGTAGGGGCTGCCGTGTCTACTGCATCCAAGGAGATCTGCAAGCTCGCCCCAGACGCTGTAAAGGTCTCTTGCACTAGGGACTTCAAGAAGGGTCGCTTGTTCTCTGGAAGGTACTGGAGAAGCTGGGAAATTTTTTCAAAGTTATCGAAATTATGGTTTGATAATAAGGCCGCATAATTGGAAATATACAAGGGAAGGGTCGCCGAAGAGTAAACCTTCCTGCCAAATGTGTCCAGTTTCTTAACATCAGGAGTTGACTTATATTGCGATGCCTTGGCTCTTTGTTGTGCTGCATCAACCACAAGGGAGTTAGGCTGTGGGTGACTGAAAAGGAACTCCAGGTTCTTGGCCGGGACAAAGTATCACTTATCGGCCTTGCAGCAGATTGGTGCTACCGATGCTGGTGTTCGCCATATGGTGTCCGCTGCCTCCAATAATGGCTTTGTCAATTGGTATGACTACCTTTGCACTCTGCCTGGGGTGCAAGTTTTTCAGTAGTCGATGTTGCTTCATTTGTGATTGTTCTACCTGTATTTCTTGGGATTGAGCCACCCGCTTGAACTAGTCTTGGAATTGTTTAAAATCGACCGGTGAGGACATGTCCTCCGGAAAAACTGCTCCATGAGAAGACGAGGGTGAACCATAATGAACTGGATTCCCAGACTGATGGTCATCTTCCTCGGACAATTGACCATCTTCAAGATCTGAGTGCTGTGTCGTGTCTGCGTAACTAGGTGATGGGGATGCCAGACGATGGTCAAAGTGCTGGTGCGGCGAAGATTGCCTTGCTGACTGTGGGTTGTAGTAGGACGACTGCTGATAACCATAATGATGAGAATGTGGACGTGATGAGCATGGAGAAAGGCGGTGATGGTCGTAATAATCCGATGGATGAGGAGAGAAACGTCTGGACAATCTATTGCTGGTGTGCCACCTCTCATGTGTGATATGCGGAGAGTGACAACAGGACCGCCCTTGTGGTGGAGAGTAGGAGGGATGTCTATAATAGCTTCTGCAATAAGGGTGTCCATAGGGAGAGTCCCGCCTGTAATAGGTATGATGTCTGGGACTGTGATCATGATAGCCATGGCGTAATGGTGATCTATACGCTGCAGGTGAAAAAGAAGGACCTGGTGAGAATCGCGGGGAAGGGGAGGGGTTACTTTCTTGCCCCCGAGGAATGGATGGCTCCCCCAGGAGCTGTGTATCTGGCCACCGCTGCTGCTCCAGCGCCGGTGCGCTAGTCAGCTGCTGCTGATGATTGTAGTCCAGTGCCAGGGCTGGCTGTAGTTGAGAAGCCCCAGATTGCAGCTGCGACCGTGACTGAAGGAGTGCCGGTACCAGGGGGGTTTCCCCTGGTGCTGGCAGCATATCGGGCATTGAATGAAGCTCCGCAGCCGCCTGCCGAGGGGAAGAAAGCTGCGCCGGCGCATTCAAGCATTGCGCACCGCTTGTCCGTACTGCTGCAGGCTTCGGTGCTGGCAAAGCTGTCAGCTGGGTTGCCGGCGCCTGGATAGTGTTTTGCGGTGCTGCTGCCCGTGCAGCTTTTTCCCGGGCTTTTGAAGATCGGTGCAGTGCCAGCTCCTTTGCTGGCACCAGAGCTCTCTCTGCCCTAGAGGACATTTTGCTAGGCACCGCAGGCTTAACTCCCTTTGGCCCCGACCCTGAGTGGAGGGATCGTGGGACAGAGCCAGAGGCATGTTGATCCACCACCATTATTTCAGGTGGAATCGATCTAGCCGGGGAGATTCTTTTCCATTTCTCCCGCAGATCAGGGGAGAAGATCCTCCGCTTAGGGGTTCTCCCCCGTTGCTCAGAAGTTTTTGCATTGGGGCCCAGTGCCTTATCCAGCAGAAACATTTTTCATCTCATCTCCCTGTCATGGCGAGTTCGGGCTGTCATCTTTGAGCAATGCCCACACTTGTGGGGAGCATGACTTTCCCCCAGACAACAAACACAATGAATGTCTGTCCGAAATTGGCATTGGTTCACTGAAGTGAGCACACTTTTTAAAACCTGGGGATCCAGGCATAATCAGATACTGTTTCTTTTCAGAGAACAGGGTTTTTTTCCCCCCTCTCAGCTGATCAGTGGCTTGTAACAGCAGGTAGCTGCCACAAGTTAGAGTTTCCTTAACAAGTCCTTTCTTGTTTGTTTGTGGGTTTTTTTGTAAATAAGAACAGGTAACAAGTAAAAACTACTAACAATAAACACTAACTAATTATAGGTTCCCCGAGGGAAGAAATTGTTGTGAGGAGAAAGACAAAGAGAGAGCTCCATCTGCGCTCAGGGATGGGTTGAGAGGAACTGACAGGGAAGCCGGGTGCGTGCAAAGATCAAATGGCACGTGCTGTATACTGCGCAGGTGCACCCGGCTGGAAACAGCTATGTAAAGCCTCTAAGCTGCGGCGCCGGGACAAGCCCAACACCATGAGTGGAGCACCCACGGGGACCACTCGAAGAGGAAGTTGAGGTGTTTGTGCTAAATGTATTAATAGACTATATTTGTAAATGTGCAAGAGTTTTTACAGTGTGAAAATTGAAACGGTGCAGAATTCCCAACCATAGAAAGATCAGACAACAAAATACTACACTTTTCTTCAAATGAACTTAAAATTCTTCATATCCGGATAGACACTCCGCATTCATTCAAGCAAACATACAAAGCAATTTACAGTAAGCAGGCTGTTCCTCCTAAAGCTTAAGAAGAAATTCTCACATATTTGATAAAGTTAATAAACCTGTAAAATACCACTCCTTTATGAAAAGAGGTTACTATGTGCACAAAGGTCCTAACATTTGGGGACCGTTCTCAAAAGAAAGTTATATATGTAAAGTATAACATTTTTCTTCAAAACTGATCACTTCTGACTCATTTAAATACATGCTATATTACACTAACTTTAAAAAACAGAGCCATCTTATTTCTCTATTATGGCACGTCACATCAACCAACCTTAAGTTACAATGGAAAACATACATGTCACATTTCTAAATTTCCTTTCAAAACGTATTTTATTTTCTCTATTGAAGATAACGTTTATTTTTGGCTTCCGTATATCTCACGTATCCAGTCACTAATACTATTTTTCTTGACTTTGGAAGATATGAAAAACATGCTTAAATAACTTTCTATTCTTGGAGAATTAATATTTTAGAATATTCATAGCCATTTGCACAGTTTCATTTAAGCAGGTCATCTTTAAAAAGTAAACCAAAATATGAAATTTTCTAGAAAACTTTTGGTGTTAATTATCATTTTAAAAGACCATACACGTTTTGAACTTAGATTCATTTTGGAAGCACTAACATTAAGTTTTGATAAAATATCTTGATTGCAAGGGGATTAAAGAAAGGAAGAGGAGAAAAAATTCATTCTGATATACAAAAGAAAAGCCTTAAAACCTGTTAAACATATTTCAGTTGAGTAAAAAGCACCAAAAATAGCTTTATATTGTTGTTTGTACATATACATTACATGTATCACTTCTCTCATGATTTGTGAACATTAAGTATTCCATGTTTAAAGACAGCTGTCAAGTGACTCAGCAAGTGAGACAGACCCGCCAGCAACCATTAACATTATAATTTTTCTAAGGTCAGCAGCTCTACATTTGATTACATTTATTCACATGGACAGATCAAGACCTTGCCTTACTGGAGAAAAACAAGTCTCTGGAGCAAGGTTAAGGACCAGTAACTACAGAAATATTACAAATGAGTTAAGAGCAGAATTAGGTTATATTTGTTCAGTGAGCAGAATATTTGTTGAGTAGAATAGTTGAAAAATGCAGTTTCATTCAATCTGAAACTATGTGCAAATTATTGCTGAGTTTGCCAAATATAATTGAAGCAATATAGGACCAGAAGGGACCGAGAAGTTTTCTAGTCCAATCCCCTGCACTCCAGGCAAGACTAAGTATTATGTACACCAAGGGTTTTCAACCAATGTTACCCCCAATTGTTTCCATCCATGAGCATAATTAATTTTTTTATGGGCACTGAGCCATATGTGCAAATGAGTATCACCAGTAGAAACAAAAACCATGGCTGTGTAGATGTGCTAATAAGCTGGGCAGCATTTGCATTTCTCCTCAGTGGCTACAGAAATGAACAGCTTACAGGGAACACTGC